CTCGCTATATACCCTGGACGAGAGAAGCAATTTCATTTGAAAGTACTTTTCAAAAACAAACTTTAAAACATATTATTCATTAAGCCTGTCAAAAATACTGCATATGTCTATATGTAGTTACTTAGAGTAAAGTCATACAGCTTAGCATTCATGGTCTTGAAAACTAAATAACGCAATCGATTGAAATATATCCTACAAAATTTATTCACAATACTCCACTTCACAAACATACATACGTACTTTGCAATTTAAACAAAAGTTTCTGAAAAAAAAAATCTACCTAACTACATAGGTAGGTAGGAACCGTGAGAATGTAAAGATCGAGTACCACGAAGGTGCAATGCACATTCTTAGCAACATCTCCTTGGGACGCATCGCGAACAATTCCAAGAACATTGCATTGTGATCTTTGCAGTTTTAGTAGAAACACTGACTTCAATTATTAGTCTCTGGAATCGTGAAATATTGGATTTTCCCACGGCCGACCGTACTGACAGGTCCGAGTCACTGAAATGACTAACCTTATGATAGATGTCCCATTCTTATTTTGTTTTTGGGGTCATGACGTATGACGGTCAGCCTAGCGGGTCTTTACTGAACTCATTTGGTGATTTACTTGTATGTAAATGTATTGAAAACGGTAAAATAATTGTAACGAGTGCTAGTGGTTTTGTTTTATAACAGCATCCTTTGGGTCATGTTTCATCATCATTTATTTAAGCAGCAATAACTATGGCACTTTTTTTCAAAATTGGGAATGTTTTCAAATTACTTCTTTTGCCCTGAGTGGAAGGAGTATCAGACTCTTACTGAGTAAAGGCCCCCCTTCCTTCTCCTGCTCTGGGCCGAGGCCACGATACATTATTGTGCTTACACCTGCAATATGCATATATAAAATGCTCTTTTCTGAAGTGTTTTTTGGGAAGGGAAAATCATCGAATATATCCTGCAGCCCTGGGTGAGGCTAAAGGGAAAGCCTAATTATTACTATCCAAAAAACTACCCCTTTTTCTGTTTCTCATTTCTTCTCGATTTCTCTCCAATTTTTATTTTATCAAACTTTAAACACCAACCCCCACGCGAACGCCGGCGTTCGTGCACCTACTTGAAAAGTCCTTAAGACATTCACATTCATTCATTAGAAAAACCACATTCGATATTTGTAATACCCTTTCCTAATACCCCACATGAGGCCTGAAACTCACTTGTACTAACTCTTTGGTATTGCTAGTGTGTCCATGGGCGGCGCCGAATACTTCACCATCATTAACCAATTTCTATCCTCTGCTGGACATAGGATTATTGCCGATTATTTAACATCTGGTCGTTTAATCAAGAATTATTCAAGGCACATTACCGATAAAACTTTGCCGTAAAATTCTTTGTTGTTTGTCTGTTTCTCTACATTGTAGGCATATTATTTTAAATTAATTAGATTTCAGAAAACAATAACGTTATTGTATATGTCACGTGATATGTAACATTGACGTTCAGTCTCCATTCTCCCTGACCCTTCAGAATCGATTGACATATCGCTTAACATATAATTATGACTTAGCATATCCGCGCCGTTTCACATTGCGATCAAAAACATATTATTATCTTTATCGAACACTTGGATAGATTATTTGTAAGGTTTTAGTTCTTTAATATGCAGTAATTGATTGCATTTTTTTAAGTAAAATTAGACCTGCCCCGGCTTCGCAAGGGAACAATGCTGATACAAAATTTCTCCACTATTCAATGGATGTTATTACAGATATTTTTATAAACCTTCCTCTCCAATCACTCGATCTATTAAGAAAGCTGCATCAAAATCTGTTAAGTAGTTTTAAATATAGGGATATAGGGACACAGAAAGCGACTTTATTTTATAATATCGCAACACAAACGAAGTCACTAGTTCGTTCCCGCCATTTTGGGGGTTGTTAGGAAGATTTTTAAATAAGGAAAGGAACAGAACACTTAAAGCTAATCTTAATTATCTATGTTATGTTTCTCACTGTTAAAGACAGGATCGTTGTATTTTTTTTATGCGAGGAGTATGTCATCATTATTATCATCTCATTCATTACTTATAAATATTTCTTCTGAACATAGGCCACGCCCATTTGTGGCGGCCTTCCTTCTACTTCCAATTCGATCGTTTAAAAACAGAGTAACGATCTAGTTTCTGGAGGATCTTGTTCGTTCTTCTCCATACGAATATACTTATTAAAACAGGCACCTAGCTTCACTGACGATCAGACTAACAGACTATTATTATATTTTGACGTTTCAAAAGTACCTAATTATGGTTGAGTTGAAATAAATGACTTTGACTTTAATTACGACCTACATTCTAAAGCTCCCATCAGACTTCTGCCTCATCAAGATCCCATATTCGCATAAAGAAAAAAAAACTGAACTAATTTAACCTCTTTAGAGGATGATCAGTGACCTCATATTAGGTAGTGTCGCGGGCAACGATCTGACGAACTACTGTCCCAGATCTAACCGCAGTTTTCTTGTTAAATATTAAAGCGTAGCGTTTTTATACATTCGGATCGTAACGAGGATAGCTTGTAAAATATTCAGAACTGTATCTTTTTTATTTGAGAAGGCAAATCATCAGTTTCTTCTTCTGCCATGGGTAGGAGTCAGACTAAAAACTGACTTGACGCGTCGCGGATTGGATTCCCGCACGGAACATCTCTTTGTGTGATCCACAAATTGTTGCTCCGTATCTGGGTGTGATGTGTGTATATGAGAAATTTATGTTTGTAAAAGCACCCACGACACTGAGAAAAATCATTGGGTGGGCCAAGGGTACATATAAAAAAAAAGTTTGATAGTCAGTTTAAAATAAAATTGTACCTAAGTCGAAAAACATACAACGTGCCGTTTATTGAAGCTATCATCTATGTAGTACATAAGTGGTATTAAAGAGTACATAAGAGTTACAACTACATCCAATAATAACGTGATCAAAATATATGTCGTAATGGCATCGTTTAATTAACTAAAAGTAGGTATATTTTCGTATTGTATTGTCACGCGTAATTTAGATGGGTTTCAATATTCATTAAGACCTACACCAAGAGGTCAGCTCGCCTGAAGGTACACGAAGAAGGCCGAACGATTCCGAAGATATCCGATTTGAGTTGCAGTAAGTAATCAAATTGTATTGAACAGTGCCGGGTAATCTCGACTTTATTGACATTTTCAATGTCAACATATCCTTGATTTCTCAATTCAGAATCCCTTATCATAAAACCATAAAAGGCCAGCATTTGTAGTAACTCTTTTGGTATTACAAGTGTCTTTTGGCGACTGATTGCTTACCATCAGATAATCCGTCTACTGGTTTGTCGATCTGTGTCATAAAAGAGAAATACCATAGAAAAATACTCTTCGCCACCCATGGACAACCTGTCACCTCACTAAGAACAGAGAAGTCATTTGATGCCCCCTCCTCCTCTCATCATCATCATCAGCCTATAAATGGCCACTGCTGAACAAAGGCCTCTTCTCACGCGGAGAAGATTTGAGCATTAATAATCGTGGTAATCACCACGCTTGCTCAATGCGGGTTGGTGATTTCAAACTTATAATTAGAAATTATAAGCCCAGGTTTCCTCACGATGCTTACCTTGACCGTATGTCAGTGGTGTCTTAATAATCATAGAAAGTACATATAACTCGGAAAAAGGCACATTGGTACTTACCAGGTTTCGAACCCACACCCTCCTGCATGAGAAGCTCCTTAACGTCCGGGCCACCACGACATGCCTACTCCTCCTCTTACCTCTTTTAAAAAGGCCCTTTTATTTTCCTATCTAGGTATTAAGATGTTGATAAAAATTAGGCACTTATTCCAAACATTTCTCCTCTTTAACTAAGTACAATTTAATGGTTACAAAATCATAGCAACCATTTAATTGACCTCTCAATCAGCTAAACAAGTCGAAAGGTTACATAACACCATATTAGCGACTTTAACTGATAAAGGAAAGCGCATTACTTAATTGTCAGAGGGCCGGTCAACGAGAAGAATGTTAATCGATTCCTGCGCAACTAGCCGATCATTATCGATTGCTAATTGCCCGCCACCTGGTGGATGAATCAGATGGAAAGTTGGCAAGAGTGGACTGTGTGATGATCACGTGGTTAGGGGCAATGCCAGATTTGTGACGTATAAGAATTTCTGCTTGACTGTTTTCTGGTAATTGTGGTCTGTCATTTGTTTATTACTTTCATTAGCTGGTTATGAAATTAACTCCTTGCTGAGATTCTTTGGACGAGCTATTATAGTTCGATTTTCTTTAGAAAGGCATAGTCATGATCGATAAAAGATAAACACAACCCTTTTTAGCATATCTGTTATCCTGCTCTGGTGCTGCTGACGTACTGAGGATATGGCTTACGCTTACCACCAGTGTCGATCGGTCCGTGAAAGCCACAGAAACAAAACGAAATCGAAATTCAACTCCTCCTTTTCGTGTCCATTTATAACTATAAATATTTAATTAAGTATATGAACAGATAACAGAGTTTAAATGAGAGAGCCCAAAAGTTTCAAATGACCTCAAAAAAATATACCACTGGTTCTGTTATTCTTTGAGTTTTTTTCAACTTTCACAGTACCTATTTTAAATGATGACTATTTTAATGAGGTTTTTTATTATTTTACTAGCTTTAGCCCGCGACTCCGTTCGCGTGGAATAGTGACTTCCTGTACATTTTTGGTTATAAACCTCTCGGGTGGTTTTCGGGATAAAAACTATCCTGTTCTTTCTCGACTTCCAAACTACGTCTGAACCAAAATTCACACAAATCAGTTCAGTAGTTTAGGCGTGAAGAAAAGACAGACAGACACGGTTACTCTCGCATTTATAATATTAGATTGGATAGTTTGAATTTTTAAGGCTTGACCAACGTGTGCCAGCGAAATAAAATTTTAAATTTGGTCTGTTATTTCCACAAATTGATCAGAGTTTGTTTTTCATTGCTTCTCCTCAATGTTTGTGTCCCTACTTAGTTTGGAGACTGGACACGCCACTGGCGATATCGGCTACGTTTTTTCCTTTTTCCTTCGACTGACGAAACCGAATAAGGTAATATTAAGTAAACTAAACAAGAACAAATTATTTAAAACATTGTACGAATCTGTGGTTTGTGGTGTACTGATGACAAAAATCATTGCCTACTTTACCTACCTTTTGTAATTAAAGGTCGACGAGGAAGGAAGAACGAAAAGAATTGAAAATCACAATTAATTAAATTTATTTATTCGAAATATGAATATTTATATAAAAGTGTGCTCGTAATTTCTATCGAAACTGACATTACCTCATTGTTTTAATTCCCTGAAAAAGTAGATAAAGTATTATATAGGTGCTGAATGTTAAAAGCCATCCGTAATTATGTAGAAGAGCAATGGTTCAGTACGAAGTGATACCACGGCCACTCAGTCAGAATGAAACAACAGCGTTATGTTTCACCATGTGAGAGAGGTTACCGGAGGCCCAATCCTTCCCCTCTCCTAAATCCTTGGCCAATCCCTAAATCTCCTCAACTCTAATCCTCAAAAGGGCAACAACGCACTCATAACTCCTCGGTTTTTGCGGTTCATGGGCGGCGTCGAATGCTTACCTTCATGAAATCGGTCTGCTCGCTTGCCGCCCCATAGTATATTAAAAAAACGCAAAGTCAGGTTGACTGAAATCATACCACGGCCTCACAGAAAACCAGCGCGAAACATCAGCTTTTTGCTTTACTTTGTAAGTGAATTTTCTGACCAATCAAAGGCCATCAAGACATTTGTAACTCCTAAGGAAATACGAATCATTTACCAACAGGTGACTCTGCTACTCGTCAATGACGATCAAATTGACTATCTGATGGAAAACAATCAGCGCCGCCCATGGACAACCTTAACAATGGAGGAGTTACGAGCGCGTTTTACGAACCGACTTTTTGTGGATTGGGGATTTGGAGATTTTGGGACTAGGGGAAGGGAAGTATTGCAGGCCTCCGGTAACCTCACTCACACGGCGAAACACAACGCTGCCTGTTTCATGCCGGTTTTCTGTGAAGCCGTGGTATCAATCCGGTCGAGCCGACCCATTCGTACCGAAGCATGGCTCTCCCACACTAAAATAATATCAGTAAAAAAGATAAAATATGCTCCATTAAGGTAAAATTTTTATCCTCAATGTATATGCATTCATTAATAAGAAATACTTAATAATATTAGGTATGTACCTCTTATTAATAATAATATAATATTATTTACCGTCTATATTCAGTTCTTGATAAAGGAAAATCTAATATTTGTTTTCTACATAATTGTTGGAACCTACCTGTAGTATCTGTACAGGCAATAACTGAATTCCAGCGGATAGTATTCATGTTTCACGCGAATCGAAATTGGTCCAGACGTTTTTGAGTTGTTCGCTAACCAATACCAACAAATGAATCAAATTTATTATGTAACTTATTACCTATTACAAAACGACATTAAGTATATGCATAGGTACTAATTTTAATAAACTTATTTTATTACATATTTATTCACTGAAGTTTATAAAGGCTTGGTTTTGTCCGTTTTAATAATGAATCAATAAGTTACGAACTTATTACTTACCTATTATTATCGTACCTAACAGAAATATAAATACTGATTTCTTTTTCACTAGGAAAATTGATGATCATACCCATTAATGAACAAAATTATTCAAACTAATATTATAAATTCGAAAGTAACTCTGTCTGTCTGTTTGTCTGTCTTTTCTTCGCGCCTACACTACTGAACCGATTTTTCTGTGAAATTTGGCACAGACATAGTTTGGAACTCGACAAAGGACATAGGGTTGAGTTTTTCTACCTTAAATCTTCAAGAAGTCGCTATTGCACGCGAACTAAGTCGCTGGCAAAAGCAACTATAAAATAAAAATAATATCAACGTAAAAATAAAATAGACATGAAAACATAACAGGATACTTAATCTTATATAAAAAAATGGATCGCAAAATGTGTTGGTAAGCGCATAACTCAACAACGCCTGGACTAATTTTGCTAATTATTTTTTTGTTATGTTTGTTATTGTCAGGAGAAGGTTCTTATCAAAGAAAATATTAGAAAAGTAGAGGGGAAAATTTTTTGATAGCGAGATAGTTGGACCCGTGCGAAGCGGGGGCGGTCCGCTAGTTATTAAATAAAATTCGATTTTCATAAAATAAAATGCGTCTATAACTTATCGAAATATTACGCAGGAAATCCTACTATCCTAATAATATTATAAATGTGAAATATTGTGAGAATTTACTAATATGGTTGTATGTACGTATTGTTATTTTTTCACACAAAAAAGCTGGACCGATTTAGTTAAAATTTGATATAAGTGGTACCCTGTTTTAACACATAGGCTTTTTATCAACATACCACACGGGCGGACTCGCGGGTAACAGCTAATACATAATGCTTCCCAAACAATCCTTGAAAGGCCAATACAATAACATCAGACACAACAACACAATAATAATAAAGTACAATATTCTACCAAACTGACTGCAGGTTGGTGCGGTGGCTGGGCAACTGGCTGCCGCGCAACGTGTCGCAGTTTCGAAGCCCGCACGGAACAACTCTTTGAGTTATCCACAAATTGTTCTTCCGGGTCTAAATATAGTAAATTGTGAACGCACCCACGACACAGGAGAAAATACAAACTTATTGATCAAGTAAGATGTCTTGAGAAACTAATGAATGCAACTACATACCTATAATTACGTTTCTACAACTTGATCGTCGTTTTCCCTGGATCGGGTAATTAATTGTAATATAAACAGCACGTGGCCAGCGTTTTGCCAAGCTCACAACGGCTGCTCGACGTGGGAGGTAAAAGCAATTGACAACGCTAATTAAATAAGGTATTTATATCATTAACACTCTCTTTGTATGGAGATGATTACTTATAGATGTGTTTTCTTCTTTTCTTATGTTACATTCACAACAAAAAACAAATAGAAATATCAAATTTCCTTTTTTAAGGTATAGGTTGGCAAACGAGCAGACGGATTACCTGATGGTAAGCAATCAGCGCTGCCCATGGACACTTGCAACACCAAAGGAGTTACGAGTATACGAGGGATTTTGAATATTTAAGAATTGGGAAGGGTTGGAGGAAGGGCGAGGGATTGGGCCTCCGCTAACCTCACTCACACGGCAAAACACAACGCTGTTGTCATTACTCGCCGGTTTACTGTGAGCCCATGGTATCACTTCGGTCGAGCCGACCCATTCGTGTCGAAGCATGGCTCTCCTACACTTAAATGAATGTCACTAAGTAAGTGAGTACTAAAAAAATAACTCAAAAATAATTATCAAGATGGCTAGACAGGTGTCATTGGTTATCATTTCTTGGTCGCTAATCAAGTTGTATGGTTTTACCTTCCAAAAAACACGTGATCGACCATGATGAAATTTAGACATCGATGAGTAATTTGCCCTTGAAGATATCGGTTCGTCTAGACTCCCTGATATTTTTATTTTCAATAATCATCATCAAGTAATGTGATAATAATTAAGATTTATTTTTGACTACGACAGCAGCTGAGACGAAGAATGGATAACTTTCTTGACTTTTACTCATAAAAAGAAAAAAATAACTTCTCCCTGTCTGAGTGGGTTGAGTGTAGAGTTGTATTTGTACTTTTTTCAAAAATGTTTTTTTTTTAATAATGTTATGAGTCTGAGCAATTATGTCAAAAGAGTATTTTAACGTACTCTATGTGCTCTATAGGGCTGATGTTCAGCCGGGGTTGCGGGGTAAACTCGGCCTTGGCCCAGAGCAGAAGGAACCAGGGGAGTTTTTGATCAGTAAGAGATTGACACTCTCTCCCGCCCGACCCTGGACGGGAGAAATCATTTGATGATTTTTCCCTCACAAAAACAACGTACTCTATAAGTTTTGTTGATAATACTTAAACTAAATATGATACAATACTTTATTTAATTAGAACACGGTTGGCAACCCTAGATCAGAGGGATTTTCAGACTCTTATTGACTAAAAACTACCCCGATTCTTTCCCTGCTATGAGTCAGGGTCACTGGACATCATTGCGTGGATCCCGGCCTTAGTAGGTCCAATCTGTGAACGCCTTAGTAGGACCGATCTGTAGACCTCGGCCTTGGTAGGTCCGATCTGTGGACCACGGCCTTAGTAGGTCCCATCAGTGGACTCTGGCCTTAGTAGGTCTGATCTATAGACCTACTTACTTAGCCTTAGTGAGTGCCAACTGAGAAACCCGTCCTTAATAGACCCTGCAGACCTACTTAGCCTTAGCAGTTTACCTTCGGACCCAACTGTTTATACATAACGATTATATACCTGATAATTCTTTAGAAGGACATACTTGTGTTATCTGTTAGTTAAAAATATCACTGTCTGGGTATTTCTATTTTAATACCGACGTCAATTCGATTCGAAAATTGATGATAATAATATGGGATTAAGATGGATGATTAGTTTTATTTATATTGGGGAGTCTAGACAACTTGATATCTCTTATGTAATTTATACCTAATAATATGTAGTTCTTATTAGGTTCCACAGAAGACCTCACAGAAAACCGGTATGAAACAACCACACGGTGTTTCGCCGTGTGAGTGAGGTTACCGGAGGCCCAATACTTTCCCCTTTAATCATCCTTTCCGAATCACCAAAAATCGACGATGAGCCCATGGGCGGCGCCGATTATTTACCATCAGGTAATCCGTCTGCTCGTTTGCTTACAGCTTCTGACAGCGGCTTCGAAGTTAAAAAAGAATAGTTGCCTGTCAATCTGTTCGTAGGTACTCGTTCGAAAGTGTACAATATCGTCAACATATCTTGGTGAGTCTGAAGTTAGCCGATTAGCTGCGCAGCACACAATTTTGGGTCTAAAAGATCCATTGCGCAGACAAACGGCTAACTTAAGACTCGCCAAGATAAGTTGGCCGTACTGTAAATTCGAATGGAGATGAAAGAGAAAGAAACTCTATCGCTACTCTTTTTTTAAGAAAACCTGCGCTCGCATTTGGTTGTCCTGATATAGTATAGCTAATGTGTTATTCCAGACTATAATCTCTATGTCAATTTTTACTAGGTAGCAGTTTTATTTCGATAGAGTAACAAACATCCATGCCATTCAAATATAAAACAGTCAAAGGTCATCATTCTTATAATAACCGTGTCCGGGTTCGAAGTATGAATCGTTTTAAAAATTCCTCTAGAGAAAAGTTTGACAGAGCATTAGCAATGCGCGGGCGCAGATCGATCGGTACGCGCAGACATCCGGCCGCTTTCGCGGACGACACATTTCGGAGGTTCCATAGCTAGGTACCGCACATTGTTTATGGTGAGTATATTGTCTATGGTGAGCTAGTAATCGGATACTGTATGTGTTATAGGAGATTCTATTATTTCGGTTTTAGTTCTTAGCGTATGTGCGTAATGTAGGTACTTTTATTTATTAGTTGGATCTCTGAGTTGGATCTTTTATTTATTAATTTTAGACAAAATGTTGGTACATATGATGGAATTAATCTAAAAAAAAAACTTCTAATACTTTGAACACAAAACACTAAATAACTATTCAACAAATCACGACTTAAGAAAAAGAATTCTATGTTTTTAAAAATAAAACTAATTTAAAATTGGAATTGTTAGCACGAAAAAAAATCTGATCTTAAATGGCCAGTAGGTACGGCAATATGGCAAATTATAGGCACGCAGTAGGCGTTATTTAAAGTTTAGGTCCTAAAATAAAATACTATTTGTAATAAAAGAATATAATGAAAAATAAGTCCAAGATTTCATCCCTATCCTGTCGCGGGTATTCATGGCCTATTCTTTTATTAAACGACTAAAGAATCGCCCTACAAGATCCGCGCCGTATTAATTTAAATTTTAAATTAATGAAATCCTAGTAATTATGAGTAGTATAAGTAAATAAGTGATGCGTACACATCTGACAGGTTCGCACCTGGCAAGCTGCCCAAACATTGTAGAAACTAGTTGCATACAATCTATGGAGTCGACTCTAGCCAAATTGATTGCAACTCCAAGATTTATACGAAGTGAAAGCATTTATCGATTTGAAACCAGCAACCCGCCTTTATTTCGCACGGGTGTCGCAACAACCTCGCTAACGAGGATAGGGTACGCCTTTTCCGAAATTTTCAGAAGAAGGTTTTTCAATTAAAAACCTTCTCCTCTCAATAATAAATTCAACACATATAAATCTTGTTTCGTAAGATTTTAGAGGACATGCCGTGGTTTTCATTTTAAACGAATCACACATCACACCTGGCTATCATTGATCGAGTAAAGTATTAACAAGATTCAGAGATGGAATAATATTATGGTACCTTGCCAACGTATTGGCACTTCCCCTGACAAATGCCAATCGCCGCCATTTTACCTAGAATATGTAAGCCATTACGCAGTGGCTATAACACATACCTACTAAGACTTCGATAAATAATTCGACAGTCACCATTATAAGACAAAATATTAAAAAAATAAATTAGTAATACTACCTATGTACCTTTATTTATCTAGTTACCTAACTACATATTTATTGATTCATATTTTACCTACGTAAAAGTCAAGTTGAAAGTTGCTTTGTAAACTACCTAGAGTTTTGGCCAGTCATCCGTCACCAAATGGTCATAGGGAAGAGATAGCCAAATTTAAAACCAGACCAAACTTTTTTCATGTGTCCGCCAGTAACCTAGTTCTAATCACTGACGCTTATAAACCACCCACACAAAAGCCAAAACTAGAGGAGATATATAAGTGTGGGAGAACTCTGCTGGGGCACAAATGGGTCAGCTCCAGCTGGAAAACCGGTGTGAAACAACCACAGCGTTGTTTTTCGCCGCGTGATTAAGATTATTATAGGCCCAATCCTTACCCTTCTTCATTTTCTTAAATTCTCCGAAACCTGAACCTCTATGGTTGTAGGTGTCTATGAGCCATGCCGATAGCCGACCTATCACATCAAAAAGGATGTACATAATTTACCCATCTGAGAATTTCAACAGAACCTAGTCAAAATTCAGTTCGATTCCCACACGATTTCTGATCTGAACTCTAGTCAGTAACTTTACTCATTAAAGAGATAAATAATCTAACTTTTTTCCGGATATACCTCCACCTCTTTTCTGAAAACTACAGAGTATTACCATTCAACATGCAGATAAATAAGAAGTTCCACAATTAATCCTTGTTTCTAGCTTCATTGTGGTCTCGGGACTATATCAACAATAACTCAACTAAATAAATGGCCATATGGTTTCCCTAAACTATCACAAAACCATACAGACGTCAGAGTATCGTGTGTGATGTGTGGTTTCAGTTTTTCCTTCGAAACTGTAACGTACAGTCACCTGAAATTTTATTAATATTTATATTATTTCATTTATATTTAAATTGAGTATTATCCTAATCACTTTTGGCATAAAACAAAGTCGCTTTCTCTGTCCCTATATCCCTATGTGTGCTTAAATCTCTTATACTACGCAACGAATTTTGACGCTGATTTTTTTGATAGAAAGAGTAATTGAAGCGGAAGATTTGTATGTGCAATAACATCCATTAAATAGTAGCCTTGCGAAGGTTATAAACGCTAAAGTTTTAAAGTATGATTGACGTAAAAATTACAGATACGACACTACTGTCTATGATTGGGCATTTTGGCCGACTGAGGTAGCAATGTTTAAGTCAGATTGGGCAGAGGAAGCCGAGTTGAAAGATAACCTAAAAGCGCAAACCTCTAGGCAAGCGAGTACCAGATCATTGAACTATTAAAAATAAAACATCTTATGGAGTCATCAATATTTGCCATAAGCCACACAAGTTCTTTCTTCCATTGTATTCAGCTCACGTACTCCTAAATCTAGAATCCATCTACAGGAAACGTCTTCGTGATCACAATACTGTGCGGGGTCAACAAACTCTATCGCCAATATTTCTAAACTGACTTTTGACAACATCTGACATGTGACTTCCTAGTTGTCAGATGTCAGATTTTTTTTTCGTCTACCTGCTGTTTTGACCGGGTATGCTACGATTATATCCTTCTCCGTACCCCACAAGTGCCTACATTTAGGTAAAATTTTAGGAAGAGTAATAATAAAATTGCTTTCATATTTATAATGCTAGTTTTGGCTAGCGACTTTCTTTTATCCTACTAGTGTACTAGTAGGATAAAAGAAGCTTGTTAATTTGTTCTTCTTATAGTCGGTCTCGCATGTCTGAGGATCGTGGTCAGCATCGGGGTAACATCTGGAGCGTATAATCCGCCTCCACCGGTTTCGAACCAGCGCATCTCTCACTACTGCGAAGAAGTCGGAGGACGATGAATCTTTTACTTGATCGGTCCATCTGGTTAGTGAACGACGACGCGATCGTTTGCCTTCGGTGATCCCAATTACAGTCAGGTTGTCCAGACTTTCATCGCCTCTGCGCTTATTTGTTATTCCAGGCTGAAATCTACTTCATTTCATCAAAATTAAAAAGTTGTTTTTACTTGAAAGAGTAATAAACATCCATCCATATGTACAGACGTTTACATTTACAGTTAAGACTAGCTTCTCCTAGCAGCGTTTCTCGTTACCCGGATCACACGTTGCCCGCGTGATATTCCTATCTAGTCTGTCAGACTCTTACTCACAATAAAACCCCCTGTTCATTCTCCTGCTCTGGGCCGAGGTCGCGGTGCCTCATTGCGCTTACCCCGCATCCCCAGCTGAACTTCAGCCTTATAGGCCCGTCTGTGGTGGTCTATTGGCTCTTTGAGGCGCGCGCGGAACGCTACGCGATGTAAAAGAGCGTCAGACTCTTACTGACTAAAAACCACTCCGTTCCTTCTCCTGCTCCAGGCCGAGGTCGCAGTACATTTAGAAAACCTACTTTGTTTTAAGATTCTGAGTTTTAAAATTACACATCAAATGGTACGAAAGCTATTTAACTAATTTTGTTCTTGATCTTAGTTCTTAGTTCTAGATTTGAAAATAGACTAAACTCCAATTTGTTTCGCCATTTCTTCTCAGATTGAGTCAGATAGCAAAAGCCGGCTTCATCTACAACTCTCTTTTGTATAACATTGACGTATAGTAGTACTGTTTTATGGCGTATTTACAAAAATAAATTCATTATCTCATAATGGCTATTGTAGTCACTAGTTTAAGTATTCAATATTTGCATTGACAAAAGGCTCTTAAGATCCGCAACGGTAATGCGTAACTTCCCAGGTGTCAATGGGCGGCGTCAATTGCTTGTACCTAAGCATCAGTTAATCCGCCTCGTTGTCTGCCGAACTTTACTTAAAAAAAAAAAACAAATATTTTGGTGACAGCAAAGAAGCGGTTAATAGGTATGTAATTGTAACAAAAAAAAATATTACAATGAATGTTTAAATTCAAAATTCGAATTAGCTCGGATGCTTTGTTGGAAAGAAAACACTAATATTCTTGCATTGTTTAGCCTTTTTGAGTATTGTTCTTTGAAAAGGCCTTAATACCACGTGTACTAATAAGTTTTATGGTGAGTCAGGTAGCAATGTTTTAGGATGTCTTGTTCAAAAAGGTAATAAATATTATCTTAAGCCTTTTAAACTTGTGTGGGGTACAATGAGATTCTTACAATGACAGTGTCCATATTACGAGATTTCCGCAACGTTTGTATAGATTAGCTACTTACTTAGTTACTTGATGATTATAATAATAACAATGTAGACAGATTCTCATTAGGCCACTGCTGTGCAAATACCTCTTCTCACACAGATAAGGTTTGTGCATTAATCACTGGATTAGGTCTCCGGTTGTTTCACGCCGGATGTCTGTGAGGCCGTTGTATCTCTCCGGTCGAGCCGTCCCATTCGTGCCGAAGCTTGGCTCTATCACACTTCGATCGTGCATTACCGATACTTGACCATTTTAATTAAATAACTCGACAAACAAGCGTTTGCTTGTGAACGCCAAGGAGTTCTAAATGCATTAACGACCTTAGGAATTTCACGATTTAGGTCAATTTAGGTATAGGACATAAAACAACCTCACTCATACAGCGAAACGCAAAGCTTTCTTTCACGAATGTCGAGCCGGCCGATTAGTGCCGAAACAAAGATCTCCCACACTTAAAAACTATTTTCCCTTTAGAATAGTAATCAAAAAAGCCTTTTAATTAGTTCGTTATTAAACCTAGGATTACTAGACACAATAATTAGGTCGTTAAGTACTTAATTTGTGTGATTTAATTACAATTTTACTTAATGACAACTTGTGTTACCTAAGTGCAGGTTAGTGCTAGACTTTTTATAGCACTTTACCTATAATTACTTACTTAATAAGCAGTTTACAGTTTGTTAATGTTTTATACCAAAGAGAGTTTATGCGGCAAAAATCTTAAAGAAAAAATTTTAACTACAGACCCGATTTATGACAAATCTTGGTACTCATTCATACACAACATATCAATGCATCAAAAATTTATTAAGTAGGTATAAATATTTTCAAAAAATCGGTTCTTAATTTGAATAATTGTTTACTTGAAATTATATTTTTTTTATGTGATAGGTCGGCAAACGAGCATACGGATTACCTGATTAAAATTAGCGTCGCCAATGGACACCCGCAACGACGGAAGAGTTACGAGTGCATTGCCTTTGATGAGTGACTTTTGGGGATCAGGGATTTGGAAATTTTGGGAAAGGCAACGGATTGGGGTAGGAGGAGGATTGGACCTCCGGTAAATGTAAGTATAAAAACACAGACCGCGTAAACGCTCGACGATTTTATCTACAAAAGTCAATATTATGTAACTACTCACTTTTTTTAAATACCTACCTACTTTTTATGGATACCAAAAATACTTTTCTAATAAAACATTACACAAAACAATTCCAAAATCAAACAGCAACAGTGTTGCCACAATAACAACGCAGCGGAACTTCCTACAATAAAAATATTAGGTCCGTAACAAAAAAGGTTTGCTTAATGTGTTAATTAAAGAATTTGGGCGTGAATTATAATGATTTGCGATAAAAGAGGTCATGACGTAATGATATGACACTGTGTTTCGTAAGACAACGAGATGAGCTTCAAATGTAACGCTGTATTATAAGACCTTGTTACTACTTAACGCCTGATGAACACGACGAAGAATTACAGAATTTGGAAGAGACTGTTTCGATTTAACGTTAATTATAAGGTACGCGTATAAATGACGCGCTAACACAACTATAACTTAGTTGTTGATTTGTCCTCTAAGCTTGCGTATTCATCTTTTAAAATGTCGGTAGCATAATTTTAGTTGATGATGTTTTCTATTTTATGTGTTAATTATAACTGTTTTCTTTTAAAATGATGGTTCTTGCAAAATATGTCTATATCTGTACACGTGGGGTAACTTTGTTAAGATTGTTATACGTAACGTAAGCAATATTGCAAATCTAAAAAGGGATAAAAAAGTATCGATCGAATCATATGTCAATGAATTCTGAGAACACAGATATAAAAAAAAATTAAAATCAAAAGTCGCAACGTACTACCTACAGAAGTCGAAACTTCGAAGCCACATCCAGCAACGTGTAACTCCTAATTAATAAAAAATTCTAACGCATACTGAACGCAATGTATTATAATAATGATTTAGTTAAACGTTTCATAAGGTTTTGTGAATGTCTTATCTCAACATAACTGCGTATCACAACGATCAGCTAGCAACCTCCAAGTAAATGATATGATTTGCTAATATTATAATTAAAACCTTCTTGGAAGGTTCGTTAAACAAAATGGCTGCTTATCTATGGTTTGAGATGTAGAGAATATTGCGCGGGAATTCGTAATAATAATGTTGATTACTTATGGTTTTATTTTGATATTATTTTTCGACTGTTGTAACTGTAACTGTTCTGTTTTTGGCTGTAAAGGTTTTTTATTTTGTTGTTTAAACATACATACTTATCCAACTTTGTCAATAACTTGTGCCGTGTGCGTGAGTTTATCGGAGGCCCATTCTTCCCCTCCCCCAAGCCCTCAATCTCCAAATCCCTAATTCTAAAAAGGTCGGCAATGCACTCGTAACTCTTCTTTTGGTTGAGGGTGTCCATGGGCAACGCTAATTACTTACCATAAGGTAATCCCAAAGCTCGCTTTGTTAAAAAATAACTTCAGTGTAATACAACGATATACATATAAAAACCGGAAGCCCAATTCTTCCCCCCTACCCCTTCCTGAATCCTCAAAACCGCTATCCTTAAATCCGCAATATCCATCAAAAGGTCCGCATTGCACTTATAGTAACTCCTTTGGCACTACGAGCCTAAGACTAAAAGTCATTTTCAGTATCTTTATCATTATCCGTATTACTTTAGATATTTTATTTTAAGAACTTTTTTCCACTACGTTATTTATTTATCAATTCACAATCACACGGTGCGACCCGAAACGGAAGCTCCCACGAGAATAGTTCTATTATCATCATCTGTACCTAAATTGTGGTGTCAGATAAATATTGCGGTTATTTTTATATCAATTCTGGTTAAATTGTTGCTTTTATAATTATTAGATAGGTACTTCTCTGTCGATATGATAGGTAATATTTTACATAATGACATATTATAAAAATAATTATTTATCTGTGCTATATCATTCTATAACATATCTATGCTATAACATTGTCATCGTATTTCAATGTTCATTCATTTTGGGGAGAAAGACTAGGGAGTGTGGGATTTTTACCTCACTTAAACCACCCCGGTGGCCACCTTCATCACCTGTAAGGGGCACCGGGTCCTTTACAAGAGACCTGCTCCGGAGCCCCCAAGATGAAACGCCTGTGACGGCACGAGCCTCGCTGTGTACGGCGGTACGTGACCACTGTACCACCGTCTTCCCTGGGATCACTGAATGAGCACCTAGAGTCCCCCCTCTATGCACCCGTGACCCCAAAGGTCCGCCTGAATTTCATGCAGGCGGGATTCGGCGTATTAGGCGTCAAGGCGGTTGCCTTCTCGACGCCTTCTACGAGCAGGATCGGCCCTCTCGCGATCCCGCTCAGCAGGCTCTTTTTGGGACATAACAGTCTCGCAAAACGCTGTTTAACGCTGCTCGGCTCCATTTAATCGTAGCGTGATGTTTTATAGCCTTTAGCACTCAGAAATAATGTAGCTATCTGTCAGTGAAAGAATTTTGGCAATCCGACCAGCGGTTCCAAGGATTAACCCCTACATACAAACTTACAAATTTTACCTCATTAAAATAATAGTATAGACAAACCTTTTCTTTATCAAAAAGAGTTCGTAATACAACGTTACATATATACCTACCTACATAAGTTCTACAAAAGAATTCATTTTGTA